TGTTGAAGTTAATCGCTGAGATGGCCAGAGATCAGAAAAAATTTTTCATGCCCACCGGCAGGGGAAAGCTGACCATAACTATGGTTCATCCACCATATATAGCTATAAAAAATGACACGATCACTAAGATATAGTGGTAAGTGGACAATATACAATGCAGAACAGAGTATGGAGTGGGCAACTATTTGTGTGAAGGAGAAATGGAAACAAGAGAGAGAAAAAACATGTGCAGTTGCTTATGTAGGCATCACATATCTCGGGAAGGGCACTCAGCCTGGTAAGGCTGTGGCCTCTGGTGGGTTGAGGAACTGGGGTGAGAGGGAGTGTTTCACTGTGTATCTATTTGCAAATCTTTTATCTTCCAAATTTTTAGTCATGCGAATTTATTTCTTATTTGGAAATATGAATAACTTTTAAAAACAAACAAAATCCTGATCAACGAACAAATTTTACATAAAAATGCAAAGGGGAAAACCTTCCCCTGATTCTCTTGCTGCTGCCCCCTCTTCCTTTCCTTGGGGATCATGGGAAGATGGAATGAGGGGGACATCATGGCCTGGGCAGGGGTGACCAGCCCCGATTCCTTAAGGCCATGACTAGGGTGTGACACGGCCTGGGCTCTGCTAAGAGGACCCAGCCTACCCCTCAGCAGAGGATGAGGATGGATATAGCCCTACTGTGCCCCTGGACTGGCCTCATTCCAACCCCAAGAGCCAGATTTTTATCGAGATCAGATTATTACGGACATGAACAAGATAGCATCGTTCCAGAACAAGACCCCATCAGACCCTTGGAACTAGAAAGCAGCTGATAAAGGAAGCCATCCTTTACACCTTGGTAAAGAAGCTTCTGGAAGTGGGTCCTCAAACTTCACTGCACACCTGAATCACCCAGGGAGATTTCAAAATCCTACGCCCAGGGGGAGAGTATAACTCAGTGGCAGAGTGTGCGCTCAGCATGCACGAGGTCCTGGGTTCAATCCCCAAGTACCCTGGACCAATCTCAAAACCTCAGGGCCAGGGCCCAGACACCACGGTGTGTGCAAGTTTCTCAGGGGACAGCAACACGCAGCTGAGTTTCAGAATCCATGGCTCCTGGCTCTCACTACCTGATGACATGGTGGAGGCCAAATCCCCCTCCAGAGAAACCAGACAGCCTTTACTCTTGAACGTGGGTGCCTCCTTCCACAGGCGAGTGAGGAAGGCCACGCATCCAGCCACCAGACAGCACAGAGGCAGGCTCCCGGAGCCAGGGGTCAGGGAGGCTGAGGTGAGATGTGGAGCAGCAGGGGCAGGAAGACATCACCATCTCTCACAGGCTCTTCTGGGGACCCGTGAGCAGGTGTCACAGGCTGAAGGGGCCACTTAGGAAAGGAGATGCCCACAGCCTGGAGGTCGGACTCTGGGAGCTTCTGTAGAGGTTCAGAGTGAGGCCTCAGCAACACGGGCCTCGTTGACTATGTAACTGGAGATGAAACAGGAAAGAACCAGGTACCAGATCTGGGGGAGGGGGTGGTCCAAGACAGACTGAGGAACCAAGAGAAGATCCTGCAGGCAGCTTAGATGCCAGTGGAGGCGACTCCCAGGCTTACACTGTAGACAAGCAATGCTCAGGGACTGTGATGGAAAGTGTTTTTCGCACTTGCTCCGTGAGAGAGGTCATGGGACAGTCAAATGACAGCACCCCATAGAATGCCAGAGCATGCTCCTACACAGAAACCACGAAGGCCAGGACCTGGGAGTGGATATGTGGGTCATGAAAACACAGAGGCTGATAAAATCATGCAAGCCGTTGAAACAGCCATGACGGATCATAAGGAGGCAGAAACATATGCCAGTGTCTGATCACCTACCTCCATGAACACGGCCTGGCCAGGGGCCAGCTTAAACACCGACGGGAGGATTCCAAAGGGAGGCTGCTCGACAAAGCCAACAGTTGCAGCAGCCTTAAAGAAAAGCAGAAGGTAACACAAGAGTGTGGAGGAAACTGTAAAATCCAGGGCTCAGATGATAAACGTCTGTCCTCTGAACATCCGTTTTGCGGTTTGAAGGATCTCAAGGATCACCCAGTGCCCTGTTCGTGAAGAAAAGCAGGCTCATCCATTCAGCAAGCACTCAATCAGCCTGTGCTGGGTACCAGATGGGGTTCTGAAGGTTAAAGGTGGGTAGATCATGGAGCATCCGTAAAGAACTGCCTGCTACAAGGAAGACCATGGACAAATGTTTCAGGAGGCATGAGAGAAAGCCTCCTCCCTACTACAGCTCCCTGGGTGGCTGGTGCCAGCTTCCATGTCAGCCTCCATGCCTGACCTACCCTTGGCCGTGAGCTCCTAAGTTGAGGGAAGCTGTCACCTTGTCAGCAGACCTGCAGCCCTGGTACCTACAAAGAAAGCTACTTAGCGTGCCAGGGACACAAACCCATGCCTCCAGGACCCCGGCAGGTAACAGAAATGAGTGAAATGTGCATCTGGGAACACGCAGTACTTCAGATGTATCACTGGTTTCTGGAGATGCAGGCACAGCAAAATGTCTCTGCTATGAGAGCGACACAAGCGTGTCCTGATCAGGGGTGTCAGAGTGCGACTGCCTTGGGGGTGGGGGGGTGGGGGGCTGCACAAACAGGGGGGAATATGCGCATGCCTGGCTACTCGACTCCGGCCAGCAGGGCCCCAGTGGATCCTGGCCCAGGGCTGCACATCAACCCATTTTCCAGGGACTGTAAATGCATATTTCTATGTGAAATCTCCCTCCTTTTAAAGGCTGGCTTGAAAAATGTTTTGAAGCAATGTTGGTTCAAAAAAATGTTTCCAAGCCCTGCACCAAATAAATATGCCCCTGGAATTCAGCCAAAGAGCTGCCAATTTGTGACCTGTGCTATATTCAAATGTTTGCTACAATGAATGACAGAATGAATGAATGAATGAATGCATGCATGCATGCATGCATGCATGTATGCCATGAGATCTGAGCCAGGCCTTGGAGGATAAGAGAGGTGATACAACCTGCCCTGGGTCACAGATATTCGGGCGTCACGTGAACAACAGCGCTGGTCTCCGCACATGCTGATTCCCACTTGGACCTTCCAGTCAGAGGTGCACCTGAGCAAGCCCCTCCCAGGGGTTACTCCCTTTGACGGGTGTGCTCTTCTGCCAGGCAGCAATCTGTGAGCACTTACTCTGAAGCTCGGCGGCGGCCAGCTCTTTTTCGGCATTATGCAGAACTTGCCCACACTGAAGCCCACGTTTTTGCAGACGAATCTGGTTATCTTCATTCCCCCAATGAGGCAGTAACCACAGTCCAGCACCGGCGACACTGCAGCCAGAGGAAAAGATGCAGGAGAAATAGCACGTGGCTCTGAACAGGGGCCACAGTGATCGTTCTGAGGCCCAGCCCAAGCTCAGAACAGCCGGGGAGGGGTGCAGGGGCTGGATGGGGATGGCCTTGCCCTCCTCGAGCAGCTGGAGTCAGTGCCTGCTGCTGACTCAGGCCTCAGCCAGTGCCCTCAGCATGGCCCTGGGGGCTGTGGTCAGAGTCCCATCCTGAAGCCGGTGCCCAGCCGAAGAGGCTCGTACATGAGGGAGCCCAGTCAAAGCCAGCTTTCCCAAAGATGCCACTCCGCAGCCACACAGGTGACATCCACTGAGGGCTCCAGGTACTCCTTCTGACCTCGATGTGGCATGAGCCTACGACGCCTAGCCTGGGGTCACTGAGCTGCTGGCCTCCTCCCCTAACATGTGTCACCCATGTGTCATTCAGAGTCAGCTCCACCAGGCAGCAGGATGGTTGGGGCCTGACATGACAGAGGACAGTGCAAAGGTCCCGCCTCAAGACCCAGAAGCCCCTGTCTCAGAGGACCGGGCTGCATGCCGCCACAAGGGGGCCCTGAGGGCCAGCAGTCCTTACAGGGGTTCACAAGCCCTAATTGAACCCCGAGAGAGCAGAGCACACTCACATGTCAGCACTGGGGGTGGCCTCCGGGCCTGCAGGGGGATCAGAAGCGTGTGGGCTGATTGGGTCTCCACTAAAATAAAATCATCGAAATCCCCAAGACAGTCAGGAAAAAACTGGACAGTATACTGGCAGCTCATCCCGGGAGCCACCATTCCACCTTTTCCAGGGAACATTCCTGTAGGTGACAAAAGTGACAAATGAGATTTTGAGGGCCCAGCCAGCCACCGGGGCTCAGGCACAGGTGCTACAGATGGCAACCGGAGGGCAGGGGTAGACTCCACACAGTGGGGCGGGGTCTCTGATCAGTGTCCTCTGGGCCAAGGCTGTGCCCCTGGCAGACACATCAGGGTTCACGGCAGGAGCAGGCTGCAAGGGCAGGGATTCCAGGTATAAATACTAGGGCCTGGGGTGACGAGGGGGTGATACGGTCCAACTGGAATGATCGGGGGGCTACGCCTGGCCCTATGGCTTAGAATTTATATTGTGGGCAAGTGAAGTTTCTGAGCTGGGATGGGGAGCTGGTGGGGAGAGACACACACAAAGTTGTTCTTGAGGAAACACTGTGTCACAAAAGCAGGAAGGCTGTCTGGTAAGCCACTGCGATGGTCTAAGTGAGGAACAAGGGGGTCTGACCGAGGTCAGTGACAGCATGCAGGGTGAAGGGTTGGCAGAACCCAGCCTGGAGGGATGTGATCCAAGACAAGAGCTGTCAGGACTGGGGGCCTTTGCTGGAGGGTGGGCAGGAAGGAAGAGTGAGCTCGGGACACAGCCTCAGGAGTCATCCGAGGGCCAAGGAGCTGCTACTCTGAGCTCACCCAATCCCAGTGCAAAGTACGGTGTAGATGGCGGGATGACTCGCACGTGGCGGCTGGTCGACGTGGTGTTTTGCAGCGAGATCACCATCTGTTAAAGGCAAAGCAACGTGTGGTGTAGCCATTATGGAAAACAGTACGGAGATGCCTCAAAAAACTAAAAATACTTACCATATGATCCAGGAATTCCACTCCTGGGCATATATCTGGAAAGAACTCTAATTTGAAAAGATACATGCACCTCAGTGTTCATAGCAACACTATATACAATAGCCAAGACATGGAAGCAACCTAAATGTCCATCGACAGATGACTGGATTAAGAAGTTGTGGTATATTTATACAATGGAATACTACTCAGCCATTAAAAAACAATACAATAATGCTGTTTGCAGCAACATGGATGGATCTGGAGACTGTCATTCTAAGTGAAGTAAGCCAGAAAGAGAAAGAAAAATACCATATGATATCACTTATATGTGAAATCTAAATAAATGACACAAATGAACATACACAAAACAGAAACAGATTCACAGACATAGAAAACAAACTTATGGTTACCAGTGGGGAATGGAGGGGAAGGGATAAATTAGAAGTTTGGGATTAGCAGATACAAACCACTATATACAGAATAAATAAACAACAAGGACCTACTGTATAGCACAGGGAACTATATTCAATAGATTTTAATAGCCTATAATGAAAAAGAATATGAAAAGGAATATATTTATATATATAACTGAATCACTATGCTGTACACCAGAAATTAACACAATATTGCAAACCGACTATACTTCAATATAAAAAATGATGAATATACTTTCATATGTTTACTTGCTACCTGGGTTTCCTCTTGTGTGATTTATCTGTTCAACGTTTTTACCATTTTGCCCCTGTGTCCTTTATTTGTCTTTTTCTTATTGATTTGTAGGTGTTCTTTATATATTCGGGGTACTAATTCCTTATAGGGTACCTATTATAAACATCTCTAAGTTTATAACTTGTATTATCTTTTGATGTACAGTTTCTAAAATTTTACTTTATTTTATTCATTTTTTTCAGTTTCTAAAATTTTAATATAAAATTTATCAACCTTTTAGTCAAGGTTTCTACTTCAGTTTCAAGAAAACTTTTTATATTGCCTATATTTTCTTCTTAAATTTTGGCTTGCAATCTCCGCTGGAAAGTCTTCAGTTTAGGCTATGGAGCAAGGTAGGGATTAAATTATGTTCTGTATGGCAAGGATACTAACTCAGTTTTGCCTCTTCAGGTCTCCACACGTGTACAGAACAGCCCTGGTGCTGTTCCCTCGGTCTGCTGCCACTCTCTCAGACACGGAGCTAGCTGCAGCCACCGCTGTCATGGATCGAGGTGTCCGTGGCACGGCTGCTCCTTGAACCCACTAAGGCAGGTCTCAAGACAGCCTTGCTCTCCGCCACATGAGGCAAACCCCTGACCAATGAAGGGCAGGATCCAGCAGCTTATACGGCTTCTGAAGGGATGTCCCACAAGACAAAATAACCAACTGCACTTTCTGGAGGTCACCTCGGTGATACATTCTTGGACTGGCTCTGCCTCTTTCTGTTCCCTCTCCTCACTCCTCCCTGGAACTGTACATGAAAGCACATAATCCACCATCTCAGCCTCTGCTTAATGGGAAACCCAGGCTGGGACATCTGGGCATCACAAGTGTCCTAAAACAGCAGACCCTTAGGATGTGATTCTGGGGTTAGATTTCTTGCCAATCAGGCAGGGATCCAAATGCCAGAAGGTGGGAAGTTGGGTGTGATGATCCCTGGTAGGCAGTGGTGTCACCATTACTGAGGATTTCACCCGTGATCAACTGAAATGCAGTGCAGGCAGAGGTCAGGCACTGAAACGTGTGGTAGCGATGGCGGCTGCAAGGTCTGGGGAGACAGTAATTAGAAGGACTGCAGAGTGGGCTGGCTTTCCTTAGCAGCACGGAAGCCTTGGGGGAAAAAATGACAGGCTCAGGGCAGCCAACTGCCAACTCGAGGCCCACCACAAAGACATTCCTTGCATTCCTTGGTTACACACAATTTGCTCCTGGGGTGTGTGTGTGTGTGTTTCTTCTTGCTCGATTTGGTTTTTTACTTAGTATTTCTGAACCTATGTTCTTTTTTTTTTCATTTCAAAAAGTTTTTAAATTTACCAAAATACAGTAAGAACACAAAAGAGAAAGTATATGAACCATAATAAGCCCCTGGCTTACAGGCACAGGTCTCTGTTCCCACCACAACTCCAGCACTCACAGCCTGCATCCCATTCTGCCCCCATCTCAGGACAGAAAAGCTCTCTCACGGCTCCACAAGGCTGGGGAAAGGGAGTGAACCTATGTCCTTCAGCAACACTGGCTTCAGGTTTTCATTTTTCCTTATTTGGCTTTGGTGTCAAGGTAACATTAGGCTCTATCTTAAACCATTAGGGTGCAACACAAAATACCATAAACTGGGTGGCTTATGAACAACAGAAATGTATTCCTCACAGTGCTGGAGGCTGGAAAGTCCAAGATCAGGATGCCTACACTGTCGTGTTTTGGTGAGGGCCCTCTTTCACTGCCTTCTCACTGTGCCCTCAAGTGGTGGAGGGGACAACAGGTCTCTTTAG